TCTCCCCCACCCCACCCCGCGGAGAATGGGGCCAGTGCTCCTCAGGCGGGGAGGTTGCCTCCTGCTTTGGATGGCACTGCTCCTTGGATGCTGGGCTGAGCTTGGCAGTGGCCTTGAGTTCCCAGGAGCAGAAGGCCAGTGGACTCGTTTCCCTAAATGGAATGCCTGCTGCGAGAGCGAGATGAGCTTCAACATGAAGACCCGCAGTTCCAGTGGCTTGGTCCTTTACTTCGATGACGAGGGTTTCTGTGATTTCTTGGAGCTAATTCTGACCCAAGGCGGGAGGCTTCAGCTGAGCTTCTCCATCTTCTGCGCCGAACCTGCCGTCTTGCTATCCGATATGGCCATCAACGACAACCTGTGGCACACCGTCGTCATCCGGCGCAATTTTAAGAACACGACACTATTAATTGATCAGTCTGAGGCGAAGTGGGTGGAAGTGAAATCGAAGCGGCGGGACATGACGGTCTTCAGTGGTCTTTTTCTAGGAGGGTTGCCTCCCGAGCTGCGCTCACCTACGTTAAAAGTAACGCTCTCCTCGGTGAAGGACCGGGAACCCTTCAAAGGATGGATAACTGACGTAAGGGTCAACTACACACAGTCCTCACCTGTGGAGAGTCAAGAAGTGCGGCTGGATGATGAACAGAGTCACTTGTGTGCCAGAGATGACGTTTGCCTGAACGGTGGCGTCTGCTCTGTGCTAAATGACCAAGCCGTGTGCGACTGCTCCCAAACTGGTTTCCGTGGGAAGGACTGCAGCGAAGGTAAGAACCTGCTACACCCTTGCTATGCCAGCCTCTCCCTCAGGGGAAGGGATACTCAGAAGTTGGAGATTGCATGGCTTTTCCTCTGTACGAGTGAATCTCTCTCAGCTGTGCTTTATCCCCTCATCCATCTCATACCTGGACCTTCGTTCAATATTTGTTCTCCCCCCCCCATCCCTTTGAATGATGTAATTAAAAAATTACTTTTAAAACAACATTGAAGGTCATGGTGGTAGTGGGGAAATGAAAAGAATGATCATTAAGGAAGGTGAATTTTTCGATGAGCAAAACTTTGGAGGTATGGAAAGGATTGTAACAAGATAAAGTGGTGAAAGGAAAGCTGTTTTGTGTATGTGTGTTTTAACCACCCACAAGGAACGGTATAACTTGGGGTGAGTTTGCAAATTCACAACTCAAGTTGCAAAAGTATTAGTTTAGTCTCAGGTGGTATGAAATAATTCTTAAGTGCAGATATTTTCATTTAAAAGGTTTCAGGTTTGAATGCTGCCATTTCTATCACTGTCTAGAAGAACAGGATAAGAGATGATTGGATGTATTCTTTGTATCAGAAAAACAGAGAAACTGAGTTTATTATTCCTCTGTAGGGGGTCAGTTCATTATTAATATTATCAAGTTGTTTAAAGTCACATCAGTGATGGATTTGTCATTAATGAGCAAGAAATATGAAGTGCTGTGGATTTATGGAGCTAGTCAACTGATACAATATTCAAAATTATTTTGATATTTCCAAAGATCATTTTATGGGGACTATGGGAGCCAGAAGGCAAAAAAATGTGATGTCCCTGTTTGTTGGTATAAGAAGGAGTTATTGTCATCTTCATTGTGGTCAGTGCCCATCCTTCTTAATAACAGGAATGGGCTAATTTTATTTGTAGACACATGTCTCTCTTTTTTAATGTTTGTAGCTGCTTTTCTAGCTTTATCACTATCAAAAATATTTCTGTGGTATTCTGTTAGACAGGAAACAAAAGCCAGAATTGTTACAAATGACAGTATTTGAGAAGAGAGAATATGCATTTCTGTACACATATATAAATCAAAGGAAGCAGTAAAAGAGAAAGAGAAATTATTCAGCATTTAAAATAGATCCAACAGAGGCCAGATGAAGGTTTAACTGAATGGGCACATGTCAGTAATGGCTGAGTAATTTCCCTTTATCTCTTTTAATCAAATTTCACTGGCTGTAGAAAAGAGATATAATTTGTCCATGTGCTTTTTATTATGTAAACTTCATCTCTTCCCTTGTCCAGGACTTTGATTGTTAGTCATTCAGCACACAGCTTTTAATTTATTGGCTCTTTATCTGTCATCTTTCTACCATTAATTAAACACATTCAAGCCTTTTCATTGCATATATTCACCAGTGGTGTTGAAACATCTGAGGAGATAATAAAGTGTACATCTCCTGTTTCTTCAGAAAATGGCTTTTTTTTTAATGGTCTTCTTGGCGAATTCTTTATCTAAAAATGGCTGGAGACCTTAAAAGCAGTGTTTAAATGAATGTAGGAACCCCTGTTCCAGCTTGTTCTGATTTGCAAGAGTAGTTAAGAGATAAATTTAGTCAATTAATAATTTACTTATACAACACTATCTATGTTCAGATTACAGTAATAGGTAGATTCATCAGCAACATTAATGCAGGTAATACAAGCCCGTAGAAAACAAGGCGAGGAAAGCAAGCTTCTCTACATAGGAAACATAAAAGCACCTCCCTTGTTCATGCTAGATATGCATAAAACCCATATTTTTTGTCAGAAATATATATCTTTTGAACTAGTTAGCTATTAACTGTAAACCTGTATTCTGATTACATTTGCTCAGAATCAAATTGCATTGCTTTTAAAGGCAAGTTTGTACAGGTTTGTAGCCTTTAATTAATGTAATTGCAAGCATATTTTTAAAAACTGACTTATATAGGCCATGGTAAGGTTGCCTTTGGCCCTCCAGATGTTCTAGGCTGCATCTCCATAATCCTTTATCATTGTACAGCTAGTTACAAAGTCCAAAACATCTAGAGAGCCAAGAGTACCCCATCCTTGATAAAAGCTGATCTCAGGGGACAATGCACTGTTTGAAATGCGCAATATTAAGGTTGCTCAGAATTTCCTTCAGATAAAAAGGAACATGCCATCCATTATGGAGAGCTATTTCTCCAAGCTCTTGCTTTCTATCTGTTAATGAAACCCATTTCAAATAAGGTGGCTTGCATAACAGAGACGAGTAGCTCTTTGTATTGATTAATCAAAGGTTTGAATTACTCTGTGATTAGGTTACATTTCTTGTGACTAATTAGCGGAAGCAAAAATAAAACAGGAGAGGGACATGTACAACCTGTTGTCCTCATTAAGATTAAGCATCATAGCAGCTACAGCCTATTGTAGTTTAATTTCTGGAGCTGTTTCTTTTTAAGTGGAACAGAGTCTCTGTAGAAAAAAGTTACTGTACTTGTGTCTGCCCAGCAGCCAATAAAACACAGTGACTGACTGAATATGGGAATACAGTGTTGTCAGGGAATGCCAGATTCAGGGAGTTCCTCGCTAGCCACTCAGCCACACTATCCCATTTATCCTGGAGTGGTGGAGCCCAGGAGATTCAAATGTGGTGGTGACTATGGAACCGGCCTGGCCCTGGTGCCTCCTAACACACCCAGACTGGCAGTGCTTCCAGGAAGTTAAAAAAAAATCCCAAAGATTTGCTACACCCCCTTGCAAGGCAGAATGGCGCCACACCAACAAAAATACTAACACTCCTGGTAACTGGTCAAGACAGAACATGGTTTTAGTAGAAGTCTTCTGATAGAAAGACTTGTACTAAATGATTGGAGATATTTTTATACTTTATTAAAGGTAGCGAAAAGACAACAAGGCAAAAGTTCTAAATGGTTTCGAAAAATATGTGGAGCAAAAGTAGAAGTTGAGGCAAAAGCTGAAGGTGAAGCAATTCACACTATAAAATAACTAATCTAATCTAAGTAATACCTTAGTGTAACATGACCATAGTTCTGAAGCATACACAGAGTGCACCCTTCCAGACACAGTATAACAGGACAGCAATTGACCATAGCATACCCTGAGAGGTAATCTAAGCCAACTAAAGTAAGTTCTCAACTTGATTTTATACATTAAACATCACATTCTGGATCTTCCGGATGGTCTGCCAATCAGGCTTTGAGTTCTCTTGAATGTTCATGAAGACAAGAACACTTTATCCCCTCCCTCTTCACACATCTGAAGTCATTTTCCAATTAGTGAAGTACCAGGGAACAAGCTGACTTGGTCTTGGAGGCCACACTCCCTAAAGATAAACTGAAGGTGTTACTCCTTTCTGTCCATTTGGCAAAAACTGCCTCTTACATTCCCAGCCAGAAGTCCCCAGGTGCTGAATTTTCCAAAATGGCTTCCATGTTTTCCTAATTTCTCAGTTTCTTCACAAGTGTGTTTTGGCCTGGATGAAGCATGAGTCAATCATCATAATTTTAATCATCATGATGTCATTATCATCATCATCATTTACAATGTACCGTATTTTTCGCACCATAAGATACACTTTCCCCCACAAAACAGGGGTAGAAAGTCTGTGCGTCTCATGGAGCAAAGAAAACAGAAGCCACTGGCAATGGTGCGGCTAAAAAATATTGTAAATAAATAAATAAATAAATATATTTTCCTGTTTTCTTCTCCTAAAAAACTGGTGCGTCTTATGGAAAGGTGCGTCTTATGGAGCGAAAAATACGGTATATATTGTACTGGATGCTACTGAGCACAAACCAGTCAGAAGGTACAGTATTTCTGGCTGCTAATTTACATGGCCTTTTATAATTCTGGATATGTGTTTCTTGTATGATCTTTCTTTCTGAGTGGGACTGGATAATGGGTAAAAACACACCTTAGGTGCTGATCATTCTATTACAAATCACTGAGCAGGAGTTTTGTTTTTTTTAAAAATCACCAACAATGCAGCCATCTTTAAATATTGCAAATTGTAACAGATAGAATGGACCTGCTGCTTGACAATACCCAGCTTTTGTAGGAGTTGGAATAGAATTTTGTTTTATCCCCTTAAGACTTCCTTGTCTACAGTGTGTCAAGAGATGGGCACATTGCAGCTGCCCTGTTTGAGTGAAGAGCTTTAAAACTAGATACCCCTAGGTGTGCTCTTTGTAGCCCTCTGAGGGAAGGATCTTCTTGCTTCACACCATGCAAATCTGTCTGCTGGACCATTCCCTACTTGCTAACTTCAGACTATATTGACTGCACCTCAGTGTGCTGGTTATGGAACTCTGCCACTTAGCAACTTGAAATGGCACCTTGGGCTTCAAATATACTGAAACATTTCAATTAATACAAATTTATCTATATGCTTGGAAAAAAACCCAACCCCCCCAGGTTAACATCCCTTACTATACCTTCAGGTGTTTGCTTAATTGTTCAGCTATGGTTTTGACTGATTTCTGCTCTATTTTATTTCTTAAGTCTAGTATTCTTATTAATAACAATGCTGAGCATTTAAGTAGAATTTTCTGAATATTTGTATATACTGGCTCAATCATCCTTACACCAACACCGCATGCCAATTCAGTATTATTCATACAGTGTTTTGTTTTGTTTTGCTTTTTACCATAAGTTATTAATTTTGCTTTTTAGCACAGGGTATGACAAGGCTGCAGGCTGACTGCCCAAACCTAAATTCTTTTCTCATTCATAGAACTCCGTAGATGTTGCATAGGACTATAGGTAGAATGTATATTACCAAACATAACTTTAAAAGCATTAAACAGAAAAGAAATGCCAGCTTATTGATAGTCACAAGGCACAGGATTCTGGAGCAGAATCTCTAACTTCAAAGTGTTCAGTTTTGTAAAAATCATCTTTGTGGCCACCTCTGCAAATACAGTAATTTCACATATACTAGGCTCCCCATGGTTGTTAAACAGAAAACGTATTTTGACTCTGTGGTCCAAATACTGTTCCATCTAGCCA